GTGTAAATGCATGTACTTAAAAGTTGCATAGCACAGCTTTCACTTTAAACTGTGTAAAGAAATTATAAATTTATTTCGATTCGATGCAGTCAGCATGGCAACACATCTTTCTTTTTTGTGAATGTATAAGGTATTTCTCCTGCCTTCGTGGTGTAGTGGTCCGCATGCTCAGCGTGTAATTGAGATGTCCGCAGTTCGATTCACGGCAAAGACGGTAGCTAATTTTTCATCTTGCCTGCTTCCAAAAATACTTAATGTCTCACCAGTGATGTCCGAACTAAAAGGGTGTTGGATGATGATTCTCCTCACCCAGGATTTGGTGATTGGGTCCCCTAAAAACCTCAGTTGCCCTTTAAAAGGGAACTATATAAGGTATTTCTCCCGTTATCTTAGCGAGCCCTCGTGGTGTAGTGGTCTGCACGCTCAGCGCGTAATTGAGAGGTCTGCGGTTCGATTACCGGTGAAGCTGTTGCTAATTTTTCATCTTACCTGCTTCCAAAAATACCTAATGTCTCTACAAATGTTATAAAATTAAATGACAGGTATCATTTGTGTGATAGACGTCATAAATAATTTGTAAATGAAAATAGGGATTTTAAATGTAATAATTCTTCTCTTGTAGGATGTAGGGAAGAACCCTAGCTCTAAATCTTATTATTATTTGCATTTATTTTTTGAAGAAAGTGTTTTCAATTTTAAATATAGCGTAGCTAACAGGATGTTAGGAATTATTAATTTCTTTAAATTGGTGATAATTTCTATGAGCAAGGTCCAGTTTGAGATATGTATGGGTGCTACAAGTCATACTGTACTTTTTACTTCCTTGTACAAAGTAAAAAGGAAGTATGTAATCGCGAAAGTTTCAGGCAGCATATTTCAACAAAAAATATCCATTTTGACCGCTTTCGAATGCAATTTAACAATATTTTTGCGTGACATCAGTATGTAAGGACAAAATAAAAGACACTCTTTTCTCCAAACGCATTATAAAACTTGATTTAAAATGGGTTCAAAAGAGAATTTTTTTTCCCATGACGTACTGTTCGTCCGTATGTACGAACATATGTATTTCGGATAACTCAAAAAGGAATAGCCTCAGAACGTTGAAGCATTTTGTACGTAGGACTGCTGTAACATGTAATCGTGCACCTCCTATTTTTGGTTGCAATCGGCCGCACCAAACTATACTATATAAATATATTTATATATATATCCACTCTGTTACCCGGCTCATGATCTGTTTCTTTCCTCTTATGTTTGTAAATTGTACATTTTGTGCTTTAAAAATGATTGAATTATGTTGTTTTTATCTTCTGGTTAAGGATTTTATGCCTTTAGTAAATCTGTGTGCATTATTTTTAGAATTATCAGCAATTTTAAAGTTGTTTAATTGCCGCTAAGCCTGTTTTTAATGGTGGCCATTGATGTTTACATTTGAAACAGCAGACTAGTGGATTTGTTGCCAATCTAGAGAAACTTGGCTTCGCAACAACAAAGATAACGCATTCATTTATTATTGCCAATTAAATCATGCTTAATTCTTTCTGGAATTTTTCGAGGAAATAAGCGTTTGAGATTTACTTCGTAATTTTTAATATAGATATTTTGAGTTTTTATGTATTTTTGCCTTCTCACGAAGTGAGAACTGAATTAATTAAATGAGAAATACTCAATCGTCTGTGAAAAACTGTTTCTGTTTTGTTTTGTTTGCTTAATTTCTTTTTATACATAGTTCTAGCTTTATTATAGTATTTGAATAGAACATGTGGCAACGATTAGAGAATTCTTTAAATGATATACATTTTGTGCATTCTCTGAGTTATAATATGAATGAAATATAATACTGTTAAGTAAAAACCTAGCGCCAGAGTGTCGCTATGGTAAACAAAGTGAATTTTAAAGAATGCATTTATTCTATTGTGGTTTATGCGCTGTCGACGAAGCAGGTTTAATTCAATCTAATAAGTTTAAATGAAATGCAAGAAAAAATGCGTATAATTTAATATTCCATACAAGGAAGTCATGTGGTGTACATATCAGATTTTTTATATTTCAAATTTATTTTACAGTGAAACGTGCATAAGAAAATCAAAATACCAAGTTCTGTGGTTTTTAAAGATATAAATCTTCAAATTTTAAGGCTTAAAATGTAGATGGTTGGTTGATTTTTTTTAATGGTGCAAAACCTCGAGGGTTATTATACACCAGACAAATGGTGAATAAAATTCAAAATGCAGAAACACACTGTATCAAGTGAATTTATGAAATGAACCTGAAATGCTGATGATGCTGATGAAGGCATGGAGAAAGGACTTTGAGAAATGCTCTAGCAATAGCTAGAGCAGGATAGAAGGAAAGTAACTTCAAATCATATGGTAAAAAGTGATGTCTTTTAAAAATCTTATGAGGTTGATGTGGGGGCTTCTTCCAATGTGATGAAAGGCATGGAGAAATGAGTTGAAACAGGTTGTGTTAAAGAAATTTATGTGGTCATTGTGACAAAAAAAAAAAAAAAAAACTTTGTTGTATAGTTATCAATTTTGATTAGTTAAAAATAGTTTTAATGGCTTTGTATATAAAATTTGTTGAAAGATTTGAAAATAAATTTACTGGCAGATGTTACATTTCCGTAACGTCGCTGGCTTTCACTCAAAACTTTTGAGAATACATTTAAGGAGCAGCTATGAACAGAAGCTGTACATTTTGGTAATTAATATTTTCATCTCAAATAAAATATCATTCTTCATTAAATTTATATCCATCTGTTTTATGTTTGGTAAAAGTTTTCTATTAAGTCCACAAAATTTGCATGTAAAATTAGAAATTTTCATGTAAAATTGTGTAACTTTCTATGTACTATTTTAATTTTTACATTATCCACAATTTCCCTAATTAATTTTATATTCTTTCACACACTTTTCATGATTATGAATATTGGAAATGTAAAGGTTTTCTATTTATGTTAACTGTCTTTTTTAGATGCAAACGATAGTCGTGTAATATCCAGCTTTCTAGTGTAATTGTTAATCATAATACTTCAGCTTAATATATTTTCATAATTGTTTTATTTTTTTATAGACTATACAACAAGCAACAGATTTAGATCTTTCTTCTGAACATTCACAAATGATGGAAAATAAGAATAAGAATAGATATGTTAATATAGTGGCATGTAAGTTTGCATAATTTTTACTTATTAAGTAATTAAAAAATTTAACATTATTTTTCTTTGGTGTTTTATTCTAAAGACAGTTTGTTTTTTGTTTGTCTGCTTCTTTAAACATTTTAATGTGTAACTTATTTAAGCAAAAAAGTTTTTTTGTGTGTCTCTTTGAACATTTTAATATGTAAATCATTTAAGCAAAACATCTGCTTTATGTATATGCTTAATTTTGAGTGATATCATGAGATAACATGACTATCTATATTTTTAATATTTATAGTTATTTTGTAGTACGTAAATATATATCTTTATCTTTTATTTACTAAAGAAATATTGATTATATTATCTCCTAATATAAATTTAGTAGAATGTATCAAAAAAGAGTGAACCCATATGTAGGAAGTTTAATTCCGAAAATTGTGTTTTAAAGTAACTTGAATGTAAATCATGAAAAAATGTTTTAAGGAGACTTGAATTTAAATCATGAATAACAAAATTTAAAACTGAAAAAGAAATTAAAATTAAAAAACAAGTAATTATCTCTATTGATCGGAAATTAGTTGAATTTTCAAGGGCAACAAACCATCTCCCGTTCAATGAACAATAATTAATAAATACGAAGGTGTTTCGTCTTTTACTTAAGTGAGAATGATGATGCCAAACTGGCAAATTAAGTTAGGCCAAAATTGTAGTTCCGTGAAGTGATGCGATTTATAATCAAAGTAGAGTACCAAAGGAATTCATTCTGAATGAAGCATTTTCACTAATACAAGATTCTTTAGAAATTTTGAGTAAAAACCAATTTATATAGTAAAATTTATAAAATACTAAAATACTTGAGTAAATGTCCCTCGACACCTTCGCTTTTATGCGTGTTAATTCAAGACTACTTTTATAAAAAGTAAACATGATAAACAGTAGTAATCTTAATTGGAATTATGAAATAGAACTCAAAGTAATTGAAATAAACATGAGAAGAATAAGAAACAATTCAATGCTATCTTTGCAAAAACAATTCAAATAAAAGTTGAAAAATTGAAATATATATAATAAGAATGTAAAATGTGAAATGTACATGAAGATATAAAAGGCCAGAAAATGCATTAACTTATGTTCTTTCTAATGGGATGTCGTTAGATTTTCTCTTCTGTTTCTTACTCAGAATGGGTGTGTGTCCGAAATCTTTATTTTTTACATTGATATAAATTTTATACATGATATCAAACTAAAAATGAAAAAATATTTTATTGTCTGTGTAAAATACTTAGAAATGTTGCATTGCTTAATACATTCGCTGCTGATCATGCACTGATGCATTATTGGTGGTATTGCTAAAGAGCCATTCACACTCTGGCGCATAGTTTCAGGTTGTGTCTCATGTGCCAGTCAAGCACTGGCACGGGAAAAGCAACATTTCATTGTTTATTTTCAAGTTCAATCAGCATTATGTTTTGAATACATAAGCTGGCATTGTAATGCAGTGAAGATTAGAAACTAATTGTAAATGTATGTGGTTTGGAGTGAAAACAAAGTTTCATTTCATGTAATGATCATACACGAATAAGATTCTGAAATATATAATTTGCAGTAACTATCTTATAATAAATTCATTTGTAATATATATATTTGTTTGTGATATAGTTTCATACAAAAATAATTCATATTGCTACTTATTTTATTTTTAAATGCCACCCGCCAGCATGTAATGCGGCAATGCAGTTGTGCCGATCACGTGCTGACACATGGTCATAAGATTCTATGCTTTAAAGCCTTAGTAATCAGTGTGGTGCACAGAATAATCTTTTATTACCTCTTTTAAATCGTATATCTTATAATAAAGTAAGTCAGCATGTAGGTACTATCTATTTCTATGACACAACATTATCTATCAACACAACCTCACATGACCAGCAGCAAAAGTGTTAAGACGCCAAATGATTGTTAAATTTTCTATTTTTTATTTTAATAATTGATTAATGTAATTTCTGATGTAAATGAATGTTCGTATTTTCAGATGATCATACCAGAGTTATACTGAAGCCTTTGCCTGGACAAAAGAAGATGCATGATTATATAAATGCCAATTACATTGATGTAAGTTTTTTTTATAATGCTTAGAATGCAATATACAAGTATACAAAAGTTTAACTTAATAGGAGGGGGAAAAAATGGATATAGTCACATTAACACAAATGTTAAACTAAAATGTGAACACTTTGAACTATCTACATATGACTTCAAGTATGCAAACATGTTACTGGTTAGCAGATATAACATATCCAAAACCATACCCTGTCTTATTTTTATTTTACTTATTTATTTGTAGTCATCATAAGAGTTATTTTTCATGAATTTTATATGCCAGAAAGACAGTGGTTTGTCGGTGGTCATATGTACTTCAATTATGCCAAATTTTTTTATACTGTGTGTGTATGTATGAGAGATGTACTATAAAATGTTTTTAGGAGGTTATCTTACTTAACCCCTTAACTGCCACGGGCGTATATATACACCTTGCTCAGCCGATATGTTAACTGCCCCGGGTTATACGGCCTTCCAAAATACTGTCATTTGCTTTGTGCTGCTATCCGTAAAATTATTCGCAAAGCTTTGTAATGCAACACCACAATGACCTTGACAGAGTATGCGAAGGAGAATACTATTTCGGAGAAGTGTGGGAAGAAATTGGAGAGAGGGATGTGTCTAAAGCGGTGAAAGTAATGACTGTGGGGTATTGGCCGGTGTTTGAGTAAAACATACTTTTTTTTTTTTTTTTTTTTTCTGTGTCCTCCGTTTTCGTTTACTTTTTGTAGTAGGTTCCAGGAATAAAGAAAGATACAACGGATGTTTCAAACCCATTTATCTTTTTTGAATTATTTTTTTGATGAACTGCTCGTGCTTCATTACTGAAACTAATTGTTTCGTAGACAAGTATGTGAACAAACATCTTGCAAACAAAAAATCAAGAACAAAATTGTGGCGTTCAGTTCACAAGGAATATATGTTTTTTTAGGCATACTGATTTCAAAAGGTATAACACTGAAACCTGATATGTGATTTACTTGTCTAAAAATAAATTGATCAAAACTCCATTTTAGGGATCTTTTTTATTGTACTTTCATCTTTTTATTATACTTTTACTCTAAACATTAAATTTTGTGCATTCATTTTTTTTTATTCTTTATTTTGTGAAAGTAAACAGTTTTTAGAAAGTAAAACTTGCACTTATTTTCTCCCTAATACATTGCATAACTACGCGCACCTGTGTGAAAAACTGTGCCACTGGTAAATGAATCTTGTACTTTTTCTGTGGCAGTTAAGGGGTTAAGGAAAATAGTTTTATATAGAATTTGAATGTTTTTATGCCAGACTTATTCATTAGAAAGTAAGATCTCAGATTCATTAGAAAGTAAAATTTTAATTCAGCTCTCACCTTGGCACTATAAATTGATTTGTGCTTCCATTTAACAAACATATAGTTTTTTATATTTAGTTTTGAAGCGATGTTTCTGCAGTTAATTATCTAAAGTTTGAAATTTTTTAAACTTTCTTATCAAAATTATCTTGAGCAGTTCATCTCCATATGCTGCCTCACAAGCCTGTACTTTTTGTATAGGTACAGTGGTCTGTTTTAAAAATAAAATTTGGGTAATTATTCTGTGCTTTGTTTCACCATAAAAATTTCCAAGGTCTACAGTGTTAATATCTGAAAAGAAAGTTATGGAAATTGTTTCAAATTTTCCAAATGGCAGAACAATTTATGAGTCATCTTGTACAAATACATCACCAAGGTAGTCATCTTAAACAGAGCATCTTCTGGGAAAACCTAAATAGACTGTATAGAACAGGGATTCTCAACCAGGGGATAATTACATCATTCTGCCTTCCATACATTAAGGGCGAGATTGCAGTCAGCCTTTTACTTTGACACATTAAGGATTTAGTTTTAGTTTATGAATATTAAAAATTACTTTTATTCAAGTTTGGTATTTATAAACATTTTGTTTACTTTTTCTTAATTTATAAAATTTATTAATTTAAATTTATGTATATTTTTCAAGTTTTGAAAAGGAGGGAGGATGATCATCTGGCAACTGTGAAAAGGATACGGGGGGGGGGGTAAATGGTTGAAAACCACTGGGATAGAGCACTTAATCTGAAATTGCAATATAGAAATGACACAAGTGTTAGATGAAAATGATTTACAGTAAACCCTTGTCAAATGCAGATTTGTGGAATGTGATTTTGCCTATTCATGTAATCGTAATTGTTTCCATTTAATTTTTCAAATGCTAGAATTTCATATATATGTAGTGCATTGTGAAGTCAGCCACATTACAATAGCCGAAGAAATTTATAAATTGCAAAAGAAATTAGCAGCAAAGAATTTTTCAGTCTTGTGGAAAGATGTCAAAGAATTAATTGAGAAATGATGAAAAAGAACTGGGTGATCACATAGCACTAGTTGACCATTAAAGCAGCAATGGTACAGAAGGAAATAACTTTTAAGAAGTTAAATAAATTGATAAAAAAAGTACAAGAATTATCTGTTTTGCAATCGAGATTAACAGAATTGAATATAGAAAAGGGTACTTCAGAAGAGGTATTCAAAAACTGCAGTCCTTACCATGAAACATTTCAAGAGTTAGGTCAGTCACATTGCCCCAAGCAAAAATCACCATTTAAAAAAAAAAAAAAAATTGGATCATGTAGCTACTTATTAAGCAGCAATACAAATACTGTGTCAATTAATATATGTTTCATTTTTCCCTTTTAACTACAACACTATTTAAAATTTATTTACATTATACATACTTTTTAAATCTGAACTATGCTAAGAACGATTTTTCTATAGGAAGTTAACTTTACAGAATGCGATTTTACCATGCACATAGTGTATTAATGATGTAAACCTTTCGTGACATTTTGCAGCGGCTTACTATATGTTGATGGCTAAGCTTTAACAGTTACCTTTAAATAGAAACATTCAAAAATTAGTTTCCTTTTTACTTGATAAATAGCAGCTGGATAGTTATTGATCTCTGCAAATAAGATTATAATCACCACAGTCATAAGGTACTATGTTTATTATTTTCATTATTCAAAGCTAATTTTGAGAATCATTTTATTCCTCATATACAGCTGTATGTTTCTTTAGTGTACATTAACAAATACAGAAGATAAATTAATTATAACCACCATATGTATTGCATCAAAATTAAATTTTAAATTTTGCTTTATATATTGTATAAGACACCAAGTAGCTCCCAATGTTCTTTCAGCAAGTTATCATGATTTCCTCTCGCCATTTTATGATGATCCACGAAGGTATCAAAACTTTAAGTCAGTATCACATACATTTAGGCAAGGGCAACTACCTCATTTTTACCTCAGATTCTTGTTTCTTCATCTAAAGGTCGCTTAGTAACTGAATTCTCATCTTATGTTCTTTCTGTAAATTTTAAATAATAAAAACAAATTTGTTTTTTCACTGTGTTAGTTTTTATACAAATTGCACATTTGTCTTTGCATATTTACAGGGTTATAACAAACCTGCTGCATATATTGGTACTCAAGGACCTTTGCCTTCAACTTTTGATGATTACTGGCGAATGATTTGGGAGCAAAGAGTATACATTATAGTTATGATAACAAATCTAGTGGAAAGAGGCAGGGTGAGTTTTGTTCAATTTAACTAGCTTGACTTGATTTCTCATACATCCATTAATATATATATATCCAACTATTCATTTTTATAAAAGTTACACATGTATAAATTTTAGTGTGTATTATATTAGTATTTATTGCACAGAGACTATTTTCAATGACCATAAATAATTCTAGATTTTTCAAAGAAAATTTTACCCGAAAGTGCTTAAATGTTGCTATTATATATAATATTTGCTATTATATATACATAGTATTTGCTATTATATATAGTAAGAAGTGTAATAATTTGTGAACTTGTATTTCTTGTGATTTTTTTTTTAAATCTAATTAGTTGTCTCCTGAAATCAAATGTTGTAACTAACTTTATTCAAGTAATATACTAATATAGATATTTTAGTAGCTGTTGCCTACTTTTTCATGATGCAGTTGTAAACAGACTTTTTCCAATATGTAAATGTAAATTTATGATACTTTTTCCATTAAAGCTGAAACATGCTTTTTTTGTGTATTTCCTTCCATACATCTTTATCTCATTTTAACAGCAACAGAGAAACATTCTCTAATTTTTCAAGAAAATCCTGCAGAAACCCTCTGTAGGGAAAGAATGTATACATTATTTTAATTTTATGAATCTCTTATCAGTTTCCTTAATTTTGTTGTGTCCATCAATATCCCTCTTATTTAATTATTTCAAACATTTTATTGTGATTCATTTGATGCAAGCTTTGGTTCACAAAACTCAATCCATATTAACTCATGGCTTTATAAGTAAATGAATCATATGACAGTAAATAAATTAATGTATGATGAACTAGCAAGTTATGATTGTATTTAGAACACCTTTTTCTTTCTGATAGGAAAGCTCTTTCAGCTTTAAGTAACATTTTAATTTCATTTCGAACTTGGTTTCGCTTTGCAAATACTCCATGTGGTAGCTTGTTGCAAGCTTTGAATGTCATACCTTTTAGTAGAACAAGCAGAAACAAAGGAATTTCTCCTTCTCATTGGTTTAAAACCTGGGAATGAAGCTATTGAGGCATACTCAATGTTTCCAGGGGATAAATGGTTGAGATTCAGTTGTTCATTGCTCTGAAACAGGAACTGGAAATTCAAGATAGCAATTGATTGATGATTGAGAAGCATTGCCATCACAATGAAAAACTTCTTTTATGCCATCTTCATTTATTACCGCTTCTCGAGATTTCTTTACAAAATCCGTTAATTGGAAAATTTCATCTTTGTTTTATGATATCCGAGAAACCTTTAAAATTAGCATCTATCATCATCAAATTTAGCTATACTTCACTATACCTATTTGGCTATGCATCATGAGCTTGGCGACTAATGACAAGTTGTTCCGTTAAATTTTATCATGCTTCTATCCACTGAGACAATTAAGCCTGAATTGTATTAGTTTAGTTATTTATTATACTTATGTCTCTTTCTTGCACATGCTGAAGGCTTATCAGAGTTCTGAATAAATTAAATTCCCACATATACTTAAGCTTTATTGAAGTCTGGTGCTAGATATCTTACCACCTCTGTGGGTACTAAATTCTGCGACTTGGCACTGCCATACGAGCCCTCGCGCTAGTTCTGGATTTATGTGAATAACAAATCAGTTATTCTTAATTCAAATAGCCTTAAATGTAATCTTTGGGTCTATGAGTATCATTAACAAGATCTATTATTAGCACATGTGAAAAGAAATTTTTGTTAAATTTTTCCTCGCCAACATTTTTTAGCGAATTTAACTTAAATCTGTAATTATCGCCGAGCATAATGTCAACATAAAAGTTTACCATACTCCTTTATTATTCGATTACTAACATAAAAAAAAAAAAAAAAAAAAAAAATTAGACATTGCTACATGAGAAATTACTCAAGTTGTCATGTTTTGATAAACATGCAATGATGAAAGGAAAGTATAATAAATAATGATACACCAGGTTGGCATCAGATCAACGATGTATCTATGGGGAATGTTTAGGTTTGAGATGTGTGCCAAGCAGATATGCAGTAACAGTGCTAAGTTACTGATCGTACAAGTTTATGCTAAAATGATTGTTTCTTCAATAACAAGGTATTTTATTTAGTGTGAAAGTGAAATTAAGAATCGGGAGTTTCCAGATGTTTTATTATGCATAGAAGGAGGAATCAAATGCAAGTGAGTAAAGCCTACGAGAAAACATTGGTGGTTTTGAGATCCGAATTTTAGATCATTCCGGATAATGGACATCTGGATTTTGGACTTTGTACTGTACTGCTGCTAGATGAAGAACAGTGAATTACTTCCCCTTTTAATAGCTAGACTTATTATCTGCTTTATTGGTATATGATTAGGAAAGTTTTTCTTTTAATAATATTTTGAAGATTTTCAGTTTCACTTTTGCTGTTATGTAAGTAATGCATCCTCTGTGATGTGTAAAAATTGTTTGATAAGGATTAATTTTGAAATTGTCCATTTCAGAAGGATTTATTTTAAGCACTTTACTGTTATTATTGGAAGAAGAAATACTTCCGCCCCCCAAACAAAGCATACTTTAGAAGCATGCATTAAATTAAACATTAACATTAGAAATTTATGAGTACATGTATAAATGATGTTTAGAAAAATTTAAACTACCATATAGCTTTTCAAGTTTGGTCTTAAAACAGTAGTTCCAGTTTAAGAAATGAAATGAATAAGGTAGGCTTTAGTGTTGGTAATGTGATAAAAGCCAAAGTTTAAAGTATTAATTTTATATTAAATTTTGATAAATGTTAAAATAAAAAAATTGTTAATAGAATTCAATTTTATGTGGCTCCTAAATTTGTGGTTTCTTTAGGCCTAAGCAGTGTGTTTTTTCAGTGCTAGTTTTGCATATTACATACTTTTTTAAGACCTTTATCAGGATAGAAACAGCTTACTAACTAGAAGGAGCTAACTATAAGTAACTAAATTTAATTAGCTTACTAACTAAAATAAAATTCAAATTTTATGTTTTTACATCATTACATAGCTGGTAGTCTTTTATGCACAACTTATATTTTACTGTTTCTTATATTCATTGTTCTTTTTTGTACAAAACGTTATATATTTTTTGTATGAAATATTTCTACTCTTAATATAATAAAAAGCTATTTTTGAAAATGATTCCTCAAGTTATGTGCCTTTCGTGTTCTTTGAAATCTTATTTATAAATTTTGACATTAGAATAACTTGTACCTCCATGCATAAAAATCACTTTGCAATCAAACCACATCTTAGTAGAGGGTTTTAAATATATATATACACACACATATCTTAGTTGTAAGTGGAAATGATATGATACAATATGTATCCATTAAATAGGTGATGTTATATTTGCTTTACTTGTATTTTTTAAATTATTTGAAACAATCATGTTTTGTTGCCCTCCTGCCAAATGAGAGGCACAACTTAAGTGAAATAACCCTTTAAGTCCCAATTTGGTAAAAAATAATTTATCTCTATATTTTTCTTGCATGATTTTCCATTTTGGGGACAAGGTATCTTGATTTAGCTCAAACCATTGAATGTATCTAAATTGTTTTATGTTTAAATGTCAGTCATTTAATTAATTTTAATAAATAATAAGCATTGTGCATATAGATGTATTATAATTTTAAAATTAAAACCGAAGTGAAATGAAAACTATGATGCATTATAAGTATTTTTCACAAATTCGTATATTTACTGCAAACCATCTTTCTTATTTTTGTTATTTATTTATTTCTTGACTTTAATCTCTTTCTGTACTCATTTTGCTGTCTTTTGATTTCATAATATTTAGTTTGCTTTTTTGGCTTTCTAACTTAAAATAAAGTGTGTTGCCTTCTGTTCTTCTAAGAAGTTTTATTTTAGTGAAACTAGGAGCAGATTTCTAACATAGGAATTTTCTTAAATTAAAATTTGAGTAAGATCACTTAATGGTGAACTTCGAATTTTTTTAAAAAAAAGTTGGTCCGTAAAAATAAATATACATATCATCTTGTATTTTGTCTTATTGATATTTGAACTCGCCCTAGAATCTTCTGTTATCTTCTCAAATTTACTGTATTAAGATTTAATCATGTAATTTTTCCCCTACTTGCATCTCCTTTTGCTTTCACGTGTATATATCATCTGTATTTGACTTTTTAGAAGCATTATACACTTTAGCATCATTATTTTTGTGCTGTTCATGAATAGCATGTTCTTGATTTGAGAATATTGAAGTCAATTTTATTATCTCATTTTGTTGTGCTTTAAGGGTACCGGTTTTTATTTTAGTCCTCCTCTAGCTTTTACATCTTTTGCTTGTATGCTGCATATATTATTTCATTTGAATTTTGCAAGCTCTGCGTAGTTTTCGTCTTAACAATCATCGTTTGGGTTTTTTTATTTTTATTTAAATGGAAAGTTTAAAGTAGGTGTATTCAAAAGGATATGATAATATAATATGTTCATTTAAATTAGGATGGATTGCAAGTAGCAAAAATATTAATTTACTTAATGCAACTTGTGTTATTCAAGTCATGACAGTTGGCAACACACAAAATTCTGGGACTTAAAGTGCTTTGTAACCCTCATTTGGCAAGAGAGCAGAGAAGTGATTTAACTATACTCACTTAATATGGCACATGCTCTCTTTGCATGCCAGCTTGAACCTAGCACTTCTGATTGGGATGACACAGTAAGTACTTTGTCTTTTCCTCTTCTCCCTTTAAATTTCATTTTCCAGTTTTTCTGTTTTTCTGCCATTGTTTCTAAGCCTAATTTATATTCAGTCAACAAAAAATGTGATTTCGAATGTTTTTTTACTCATTTTTGAAGGTTTGCAGGTTTCACTTCTTTAAAAATAGCTAATATTTAGCAAAGTAGAATTTATAATGATTGCATTGGGGCTTAAAGAGTTGTCTTGCATTGTGCTCTCATAGCACATGTCGGTATATTTATTCTAAATGTATTTTTCTGTTATTTTTTTAATGCAAGTGAAATAAATACATCCCATATGAAACCGAAAAATCATATCTTAGTTTCCGTGAAATTTCTAGTAGTACGTTTTTCAAAATAAATCTTGAATCTTACAAGTTGTGGCTTTAAATTTTTATTCGTGCAGTATGAAAGCAATAACTATGAATGAGTAACTTGTAAGATTATGTGTAACATCAGTATTTTCATTTCGTGGGTTGTATTTTTACTACAATTTGAGATTTTTCTGTTCTGTTTGTAAATAAAGAAAAAGCATAAATGTATATACTGTGCATATTTAAAGTGCATTTTTTAGTTTGAACAAATATGTGAATTTTTTGTCTTATTTTATTGCAAACATGTAATCAAGCAAAGCAGCTAATAAAATCATTTTATTATATTATATAAAACCTGACCTTAAATATCACGCAGAGGCTGTTACATACTTGAAGTTTGCTAATTTTACAGCGATATGCAAAAGTTCATTTGAATTAATTCAGATTTATGTATTTATTTTTGAACCAAAAAAATCTGCATATTTCACTAACAGTAAAGAAAAAGTAATTAAATGAAATCTATAAAAAAAATCTTAAATTGGTAACTATTTTTGGATGTAGAGTAGTTCATGAGTAATATGCATTTCAAATGTGTCATGTGTATCAATTGTATGCTATGTGTTTTGATTGAATGATATTTGAAAGCATATTAAATGCATATATGTAGTTACTTGAGAGCATTTTTTTTTTTTTTTTTTTGGATAAATACATTGTGGAGAATGATTTCATTATTTTAACTCATCTCAATGAAAAAATGAAAATACTTTTATTATTTTGTTTGTATCTCAATGGTCTGGACTGATTTTGTTCACATTTACAGGGTAATTAAATCTAATATTAGTTCTTCATGAAATCCTATATTGCCAAAACAATTGCATGAAAGTATTTGAATTAGTTTTAAATATGATCATATTTAAATTTAAAATATAATATTTCTTATCAATTTCATTTTCTATCAATCTGAGGTGATTGGTTTTAGTGTTGGAATTTGCTAAATTCTGTGCTAAGTACAAACCTGCAGTTAGTGTTGTTTATGAAGATTTTGAGGTATTTACTATAGTCATAAAATTTATGTTACATATTTGTAAATATTATCATGTTCTTTTATGCAGTTTCTTTTGTTAAAGATTTAGTGAAAAATAGAATAGGGTACAATTTAAAAAATTCTGTGGTTCTGAGTTAAAGAACACCTAACTACCTATAAACTGGCTTTGTTTCAGAGGAAGTGTGACATGTATTGGCCAAAAGAGGGTACAGAGACTTATGGTATCATTCAAGTTAAGCTAATAGAGGAACAAGTTATGGCTACTTATACTGTTCGAACATTTGCTATAAAAAATACCAAAATGAAGAAGGTATGTATGACTTTCACATGGTAGATTATATTCATATAGCATTTCTCATTTCTATTTCACATGTTTGATAAAAAAAATTTACCTTCACAAAACCAATGTAATTAAATAAGACTATGCGGGTTGTGTTAAAAAATTATAATGATTATTTGCTGTTTATAAGACATAAATCAACCTTATAAAGTGAATATAATTTAACCTTCTGCTGTAGGGGTGTATTTCAGTGGTGATGATTTTAAATTATAGGATGCAATGTGAAGTGCTTGCATAACCTAAATTGTGTAACCTTGTGTGCTTTAGCATAACCTAAATCTATAGCCTGCAAGCAGCTGAACGGTAAAATCAGTGAATACTGGTAGCTCAACATGTTATCAAATCCTCGTGGTAGTGTATGTGGTTGTCCCAATCTTTAATGTGAATATGAGCTATTTTCCCTTTCCTTAGACAGTGTGTGTTCCCTTGTGTGCTTTAGCATAACCTAAATAATCAGCCTGTATTGTGTATTTTTTAACAACAGTTGAATTTACCTCTGAATTTTCATCTTTTGCATCTGAATATTTTAGTGTTAATGAAGCCCACAATTTCAATATGTATTGATCTGGAAATTGGAATACATCTATGCTTGAAGGTTTTCAAGATGATCTTTTAGCAGAAAACACTTAGAAATATTATCTTAAAAAATAGTTGCAAGACCCCACTTAATGCAAATGATGCATTCCAATGAGTTCCAGTGTTAAACAATGTCATCTGAATATGTAAATAATGGATGTAAGTGAAACAGAAGAGAAAATAAGAAGTTTTATCCTATTTTTTTTACTTTGTAACATTTATTATTAAATACTCTTTTGTTACATTAATTATAGACTTATTGTTAATATTGATTTTTATTTGTAATACATTTATGAAAATCAAAAAAGCTGAAGTACAGATATGATATGATGAAAACCCTTTCTTGTTTGACTACTTTTTTTATTGTGTGTGTGTGCGGGGGGGGGCAAACTCATGTAGCGTCATTTACCTCTTCCTTTTGAATTCAACAAGTTGTCGATAGCAAGACACTGTATCAATGGTGCTTCATCTTGCATTATCAAAATTTAAATCATTTTGTATAAACTGATCCATAATTTCTGTTATAGTGGCTAAACTTTTCTAGAATGTCCATTGAAAGTTCCTTTTGGCTCTCATACTGAGACTGTCATTTTGTCATCTTCGTGCACTTGTTCTACTAAGTCTTTAGGATTGTCATTGAAAAGACTTTCACCAGCTGTAATTTGCAATAATTCTTCAATATTTGACATTTATGTTATCCAGCTCTCTTTCATTAGCATTCATTTGTTGTAATGTCAACTCCAGATAATAAGTGCTTCAGCATTTGATATGCCTTTATTCATTTTTTGAATTAATGAGCCTGTGTTTGGCGGCAGGAAAACTCTTATCTACTGGAATGCATGCTTTTAAGTTGGACAGATTTGTTGGATGACTTGGAGCATCATTAATCAAAAGTAAAGTTTTTAGTTCTAGTTTTTTAAATATACAGTAGTGTTTCACAGATGGGCAAAAATGTTTGGTAAACCATTTCTCAAAATTTTTTATAGAGATTCAAAATTGTTTGACTTTCAAATTACTGCTAAAGATGGTTTTGAAATTCCCTTCAGTACTCTTGGGGTTTGGGAATGGTAAACAAGCAGTAGTTTTAATATAAAGTCGCCATTAGCATTACCATACAGTAGAACTAAATGATCTTTTGCAGCTTTAAATCATAAACCAAAACATCAATACCAGCATCACATGTGATTTCGGGAAATCTCTGTACTACCACATAATAGTGATATGGCACTAAGTGAGGTCTTACTCTACTTTCATGATTGTTTTACCTATTTCCCCTCCAAGAACTGAATTTTAAAGGGAAAAAATTCAAGAGACCTTTTGTTTTTTTTTTTAAATGTGTAATTTGAGATAAGAAAATTTGTCTTTAAAATTTTCATGAGTTTTGTTTTGGTTTTCTGACTATGTTTCCAAAATATACCATAGATGTAATGCAGTTCACTTCCTTTATAAGAAACTAAAGCATGAAAAGTGTGCATTTATAAGAAAGAATAATAAAATATGTATGGAACGGTGTAAAAATGTAGGATGATGTTACAGGCTTGCCATGCTACCAGGAAAACTGGAAAATGTCGGGGAATTCAAAAATTGATCAAGAAAATCTGGGAATTTAAATATTTTAGTCAAAATCTGGAAAAGTCGGGGAATTTCTTATGGCTATCCCCAAATAAGTGAGTTTTGCGCCAATGTTGGAAGCAATCACTTTCTTCGTGAATTATGTCTTGTAAGCATCCTTTGGGTAGCTTGTGTAGAGCCAATTTTTGCAGCTCCAATCAAATTGCCTTTTAGAAAGTCAAAGCTAGTTTCCAGTAACCTCAAGAATCAAGAGACTCACATGTTGAACTGAAGAAAACACTTTCACATTCTCATATATATATATAAAATAAAATAAAATAAAAAAAAAAAAAAAAATTGGTTTAACACATCAAATTGGTTAGTATACGTTACACACAGGATTTTGCAATATTACGATGAGCAGTAAATGGGTCATTTTGATGTTGGTGACAGTTTTCAAATTTGTGCCAAAGCCATAGCATATACTAGGATTTTACTGAAAAATCTTTTAAACCTTTTTTTTCCTCTTTAATAAATGCCTCATTTGTCATTTTGCAGTAAAATAAAAAAAAGTAATCCATCCTCTAGGCTAACCATTTTAATATTTGCCAAAATATCGTTAATTATTGTTATTCAATTTTTAAGTAATTAACTTTATTTTTATGTTATTCATAGCATGTAATGTGGCTGCTTCCCTCTAAATATATTTATTATTAGTTAATAATACTTTCATATTTCAGGCGATTTTCTCTGGCATTATCCTGAAACTAATTCTAGAGCAGTATTATGACATACTATCACGAAATTTAATGCACATATTTTTTACTTACGTATGCTGCTAAATAAATATAAAATACCTGAATTTATTTTAAAATATCATTAAATTTTATTAGATTTCTTTCTTTTAGCTGCAAAATAACTGAAAAAGTATTTTTAATCTACACTCATGTCCATAAATTAAGGATAATTCGGAGTCACACGGAAATCGAACTCTAAAATAAATATATCACCTGTAAAATCGCTACACACATCTTCAAGAATCATATGCAAATTTCAGAAAGAAACCAGATGACACTGATGGTACGTCACAATGACGAGAGTGTAAGAGAGTGATATATAAGGAATACAGGCAAAGAAGTAAAATTGTTCGCAGGTGCTTTATAAGCATTTCAGTGCAATAACCGAATAGTTACGACACAAAGGACGCATTTGGATGATTTACGTGGTAGAATTATCAGCCGTCTGGAATGTGGGCGTACCCAACTGGAAGTATCAGACGAACTTGGAATTGCCCAGAGTGTTATCTCCAGGCTTTGGCAACGATTCCAAGATGATGGTAATGTGAGTAGACGTTTACAGCACAGGTCGCCCCAGAGATTACAGCGCCGAATGAAGGACCGGTATTTGGCAGTTACTGCCAAAAAAACAGGTGGAGCACAGCCTCAGAGACCTGCTTGTCAGCTCTCTTCAGCCACTGGTACGACAATTTCAAGGCAGACCGTGTACAGACGCTTAGGGCAGATTGGTTTATATGTTCGTAGACCTGTCAGATGCGTTCCACTTACTGCAACTCACTGTCGCCTGCGGTTAGCCTGGAGTAGAGAGCATGCACTGTGGACACCGCAACAGTGGGCTTGTGTGATGTTTTCCGACGAGTCCAGGTTTTAGCTTGCAGTCTGATTCTCGCCGGACTTTCATATGGAGAGCTCCAGGTATTCGTTACCACCAAGAAAACATCATTGAACGACACCGTTATGGTGGTGCAGGAGTGCTCGTTTGAGGTGGAATTATTTTGGGTTCCAGAACTGACCTGCATGTTCAAATTGGAACCATGACAAGCCAAATCTATCAGGACGTCATTCTGGAACAACACGTACGTTTGTTTCGGAGTGCCTTGGGCGTACAATTCGTGATTTTGGATGACAACGCCCGTCCTCACCATGCAAACATTGTAAGCGAATGTCTTCAATCGGAGGATACACCCGTATGGACTGCCCAGCATTCTCACCGGACTTGAATCCAGTAGAGCATGTGTGGGACATACTTGGCCGACGAGTTGCAGCCCGTCAACCTCCTTCTACATGTCTACCGGAAACTTCGGAGAGCATTGCTTTTTGAGTGGTTGTAATATCCCCCAAGATCAGATCAATAATTTGATACTCAGATGCCTAGGCGTTGTACGGACTGTATTGCATCGTCTAGGGAGACATACAATGTATTAACAATCAAACCAACCATGTAATATTGGTCTTTTGTATAATAAGTTTTTTTTTTTTTTTTTTTTTTTGTAATTTGCTCCAGGGAGAGAAAAAAATCGCTAATTTTTTTAATAATATCAAACATATAGCATCTTTTTTTTGCTCTTTACCTTTTTTTGTTTAAATAAGCTTTACAAATAAGTCAAATTTGTTTTGCTTCTAACTCTTCCTTTGCCTGATTTTGCATTATCCTTAATTTATGGACATGAGTGTAGATTGGGAAGATTCTAATCTCTCTCTTCAGTGGAGAAAACAGCTCCTCTTATATTTATAATAGTAATGATTTGGGGATTATATATTATATATATGTAAGTCATATTTAATTTTTGTGTTTTCAAGTGGAACCATAATTTATTTACCTCTCAGTACGTGGATAGACTGTAATTTTCTTAAAACACACCTAGAAAACCTGGAAAAGTTGGAGAATTTCATTCTCCTGTTTGAGTGGCAACCTTGATGTTATGTTTTTAAAAAAGTAAGAAAAGTCAAATTTCAGGTAACAAATTTAAATATGATGAAAGAGGGTTTTTTTTTTTTTTTTTTTTTTTTTTTTTTTTTTTTTTTTTTTTTTTTTTTTTTTTTTTTACACCCAGAAACAGTGTTTAATCTGTTACATTTTCCTATTACTAAAGAAGAATTCTTGGTATTTGACTTCATTTCTTCTGATGAGCTTTTAAAATGTCATGAAAACTAAATTACAGGAATTTTAAATATGTGTATTATATTCAATCTCTTCCAAGCCAGATGTGCTGAGTGAAAGTTTGTGCATATATTGTCACTAATGACTGCACTCACTGATATCTAGATAGTATCATCAGTACGCTGTGACCTATTAAAGAAGTTTGAGCACATAAGGATATACATATGGCAGCTACTGGTAACAAAATGAATGCACAATGCAATATGAGTGAGGTTGTGTTTTAGTATAATTAATTGATGCCCAATAATTTGGCCATATATTTATCTGCAAATTTTTTGGTAGGTTCCATCTAGACACTGCATTTAAGCGAGAGTGCTGTAATAGGGAAATGGAAAATTATAAAATTTCATTTGAACCAGAGAGCTGAAAAAAAATGGATAAATCGGTATTATTGATACGTTTGGCATGTGATGGAGTCAAATTGGAAGGCCTAATAAAAAATATGTCAACAAACTTTTGACAGGTTTCAAGAAGTGATGCCATCTTTTCTTATTTGTGCTTGGATTCCATGGATGGCCTCCAACACTCAGACAATAATTACTTCATAGAACATTGCCTGTGAACTGTAGTGGCGTAAAGCACTGTGTGAGTAAACTGTGAAATAATGGGAAAACCTTTGTGGATTAACCTCTTCGTCTTCCGTAACCCATTTAGCGCATTTAAGGACTTCCGCAGGGTGGCCGTAATGTGCTACAAGCGTTTTTCTACATTTTAAAACTTTTAAACGTTTAAAATGCTTTCTAAATGTTTACTTGTTTGAGCTTTTGTTTGTTCTAATACCTACCTCCTAAATGGCAGCACTAATCAGGCATTTTATTTCTAATTGAATTTGCCCCGGGTTTTATGAATATTCACGCCATTTTACATAAGATACAAGACAGTGAGAGATGGCTTCAACATCTATTCAGCAGAAAAAGAGAAAAAAATGATGTTGTGAATTGGAAAGAGAATATACGTTTGATGAGTACAGTCCATAACTTGATAATTGATGTTGGAACATGGAAAAGAACTGTAAAAAAACCAATAATTGTAAAAGATTACAACAACAAAATGAAAGGAGTGGACTGCCTGGAACAGATGTTATCAAATTATCCTGCTATTAGAAATGAGCAGAGATATTATTTTTCCATTATGCTTTTTATTTCCTTATAATTTTACTTAATATTCATTGACATTCATCCACTACGAAAGTTATGATGTACAGAGAAAACAACATTACACGCTACGAAAAACAGACGCGGCCGCTGGGGAGAAACTTTCGTGGATAGGAGAGGGCGGCGAAAGGGTTAATGAATCATGTTGCATGTTATGGAGCTCTGATAAACAAATGTGCACATTGCAGTTGCCAGAAGTATGCTACTTACCATATAATGTTGCCATTATTATGAATTTTGGTGGAAGTCTTGCATGTTCTGGTTTCTCTTAGTTTGCTCATGGTCCTGTAGCTTTTGAATATGAAAGCTTAAATCATGAGGATAATGAAAGAATTTTAAGTAACTCCATTCTGCCCACTCTGTAGCAGTTGATTGAAAATGACTGGTCTCTTATACAGAATATTAGCATACTCATTCAGAAGACGGAAATCATAATTGTTTTGAGGAGATGATAATGAATGAATTTGAGTGGCCAGCCTAAAACCCTGACCTGAACACAACTGAGCAAGATGTATTAGAGTTGCGAGGCAGACTAAATCAAATCAACACAGTGAATAACTGTGTATCCCTTGTAGGAGGGATGGTATAAAATATCTGCAGATGTGTACAGAGACTTGTAGTGAGTGCCAGACCTACATTTACTGATGTAGACCATGATTCCACATTGTTTTGAAACAATCTAATGTGACAATACAAGGTAACCCAAAAATATCTCCCAGAAATGTGAAGGCAGGTACAGAGGGCTGAAGTAAGCAAAATTTGTAAAGTGTGATGAGAAATGACACATTGAGATAATACAATGCACTGTTCAGTTGTAGATAGAAGCATTCTTCTAGTGTAAATTATTATTCAATTTGTGGATTTGTACCAGTATGCATGACTACATGAACTTGCAGCTCACCAATATGCATTTTATCTATGGAGCTGCACATGGAAATGGAGCAGCTGCTCAAAAGAGTTATTTGTGAATTGTTCTCTGAATCTCTGTATTAACTGCAACCCCTTCTCTCCACCTTCATTAAATAACATAAGCAAAGCATAAATGTAGATAAAATGCATGTCCGCTAGCTGTAACTTTAGGTTGTGTATTCACTTGAAATCTGCTCAGGAAATAACCATTTACCCAAGAAAAATACTTTAATCTATTGCTGAAATGCTGAAAAGCATACTGTACCTTATCAACGTGCCATTTCTGCATACACATTCAGTTACAAAATCTGCTTATTTTGATCCCCTCTTTACATTTCTGCCAGATATTTTTTAATCCCCTTGTATGTGATTGGTCCATGTGGTAAGAAACAACTTCATTATATTTCTTCACTTTGTTACCTTTTGTTTTCCCTTTGAGACAAAAATTTCATAGCAAAGTTATGTGTGCATACAGCATGGTAACAAAACTTAAATCATTTTTTTTTTTTTGTAGGGAAAGCTCATTGAAACTGTTGATTATGATACTAACCACAGTTCACTCATTAAAATGTATCTACAGCCAGTTTTCCTCTATCTGTTTTGAGCTACTTTTGGCTATGAGAAATTTTAATTCCTCTTCAGCTTTCTTATATTCAGAGTTGACTGCTTTATTTATAAGAAGAAATATACTAATTACGTTGCATTCTTTTTTTTTTTTTTTTTTTTCTATTTCAGAAGTTAATGTGTGAAAGAAATGTCTATCAGTACCATTATACAAATTGGCCTGACCATGGGGTACCTGATCATGCACTGCCAGTTTTAAATTTCATTCGGAAATCTTCTAATGCTAATCCAAATAATGCAGGTCCAATCATAGTGCATTGCAGGTAAGCAGCTGTTTCTGGCACCTTTTTTCATCAAGTGCCGAATGCAGAATAAAATGCAGAATTTTCTTTATTCCTTAATTATGCATGTCTCAGATATTTCTTATTTATAAACACTTTACATTAATGCTTTCAGTGCTGGAGTGGGCAGAACTGGCACTTACATTGTTTTGGATGCCATGCTTAGGCAGATACAACATAAGCAAAGCATAAATGTTGTTGGTTTTCTTAAGCATATTAGACAACAAAGAAATTATTTGGTGCAAACCGAAGTAAGTATTCACTTGTTTTGTCTATATAGGTAGTATAGAATACAGATATTTTATTTTTCTTTCTCTCCCACATAGGAACAGTACATATTTATTCATGATGCTCTCCTAGAAGCAATTGAGAGTGGGGAAACTGAAGTTCTCTTGCACCAGTTTGGTTCATATGTAAGTAATTTAAATAATCCAGTGAATGAAGGTGGAGAGAAAAGTTCAAGTCCTCTAGAAAAACAATTTAAGGTATTTTAACTTTTTTATTTACCAGGCTAATGCATTTTTATTTCTGGATTGAAATTCAATTATTTTGTTATGTAAATGTTATTTTTGAGGAATATTTCAAATTCAGAGTGATTAAAAATTGGTATTGTGTGATTCAAGCAAAGGATTTTTTTTAATATATTCAGAATATAACAATTTTAAACTAAAGTTAATGCTAAAAATGTTTTTCTGCCTTTGTATTTATGGCCTGCCATTGTTGTAGTAAAAGGAATGAATAATTTATAACTTATGCTAAAAGCTTTTGGAACACATGACTTCACCTTTGTATGTGGTATGCATGTGGTGATTTTCTTTAGGTACTGCTGCTATAACTTGCTTTCTTCCTTTCAAGAATTGCCTATTCATTTTTGTAATAAAAGTGACCATTTGTATTGTTCATAAGGAATTTAAGGTAATTTACTTGGTAGCTATATTTAAAATTTGAAAAAAAAAATTTTTTTTTTGGCTGAAACTATTTAAACAGTTGATACTTTTCATATTTATAAAATGCTTTAGTAGCTAGACTTCATAATTCAGATGCTTTTATAAAACAATTTCTTTTCAAATATTTAACCCTGAATTAGTGCAGCAGGATATTTTGACATTCCAATGCAACTGTATGGAATTATATTCACAAGATGCATATGAATTTTCTACAAATTCGATAGCTTACAAAATTTCAGCTTCCCTTTATTATTTTAGCGATTTTTTGGCTTGTAAGAATTTTATTGCTTTGGGATGCTGTAGAACCTTCCCGCATTAAACAAGTAAGTGATTTTAGCACAGTCAGGACTTTGTCATGGAGTTTCTTCCTCATTCTTACCACTTAATCTGATCTTATGATTGGCTTTTCTTTTGTTATTTGCTCTTCTGCAGCTGAAGAAGGTTCTATTTTTAAATCTTCAAAACTAGGTCTGCAAATTTACACTCTTAGACAAAAAAAAAAAAAAAAATTGCGCACCGCGACGCACCGAGAAGATATAAAGCATATTGGATACTAAATGATATGCATACAGGTTTCGACAGAAAATACAAAATTTTACAGTTTGGCTGCCAATGAATGAATGGTTGTCGCTATTGCACAACTGGCAGGATATTTAAGAGAAGAAATTACGATTCCAAGTCATAAACTCTTCACAAATTTCATTCTGTGTACTCAGGTAGACAGTAACTATGGCTCGCATACAGGTGCATGAGCAATATGCGCAGGTATCAGAATTTGAGAGAGGTCATGTAGCTGGGCTCGAAGCCCATTGGTCTTATCGGCGAATAGCTCGACATTTGAGCAGGGAGCGATGCCACTATTAGACGATGTTGGCAGTAATGGGTGAACCATGGCCGCACACAACGTCAAGAAGGAAGCGGTAGGCCTAGAGAAATGACAGAACGTGAAGACCGAGCAATCGTCAGAGCAGCACTCACAGCCCTAGATGCATCTTTATCATTGATTTTATGTGCAACTAGTGCTTCAGTGACCGCAAGGACCATTCATAGACGGCTCACAGAAAGGGGGCTGAGGTCACGGCGCCCCTTACGCCGACTACCATTTACCTCTGTACAATGTCAAGCCCCGTTTGCAGTAGTGTTGGGCTCATTCGCACTGGAATGTCACTGACTGGAGTAGAATAGTCTTTATTGATGAGTCCCGCTTTGAACAGAGCCCCGATGACCAGCGAAGGTGAGTCTGGAGATGCCCCGGACAGCAGTGCGATACCAACCTGTCTTCCGGCAGACAGGCCGACAACCAGGAGTGATGGTCTGGGGTGCCATTTCATTTCATAGTAGGACCCCTTTGATTGTCATCCGTCGCAACCTTACAGCATAGTAGTGATACCGTCGACGAAGTTCTAAGGCCCGTTGTATTCTCCTTCATGTCACGCCACCCTGGGCACGCCCAGGGTGGCTTGACATGCCCACCCCCACACTGCACATGTTTCTACTGCTCGCCTTGGTGCTTGCCGAACATTACCTTGGCCAGCAAGATCGCAGGATATCTCTATTGAGCCTATTGAGCACGTTTGGAGCATTATGGGCAGGGCCCTTCAACCACCTCGGGATTGTTGACGATCTAACGGGCTAGTTAGGACAGAATTTGGCACGATATCCCTCAGGAGGACATGCTCAACCTCTATCCAATCGATGCCAAGCCAAATAACTGCTTGCATAAAGGGCCAGAGGGTGGACAAACACGTTACTGACTTTTTCACTTTGTGAAGCTCTATCACTTCAATAAATCATCCAATTTTTCTCAAACTGTAATCATTTGTTTTTCTGTACATGTACATCAGTTCTACCGATTTTCGTCTCATTCGGATAATTCCTTCTTGGTGTGCCGTGTTTTTTGTCTAAGAGTGTATAAATTTTGTGCTGATTCCTGTTGCTTTAACACTTCCAATAACCTTGCAGCAGTTGGAAACATTAAAATAAATAAAAAGGAATTATCTCTGGTATTTGTCAGCTTTAAAAATAGGGACTTGTATTCAAGTTTGTTTAGAATTTAGAAAGATATAATTGAAATACCATGTATAATCCCAAAAAACAAAACTGCCATACTGTTTAGCATTGTTTATCAGGGTGTGGTAATTGGTAATGATTCTCTTACACAAAAGCTAGAAAATGTAAATTTTTATAACAGTTCAAAGAGAAGCATTGATGCTGTTGATTGGAGGTGCGCCTTGTATGAGGTATCCAGAAATAGTCATAGATAGGCGCTTATAATAGTTTTCACCATGCTGAATATAACTGGAATTAATTCTTGTGTAATTTATAAATAAAAAAGTTGTGAATTCTTGTGTAATTTATAAATAAAAAAGTTGTGAAATTAAAAAGCAATATCATTTTATGAAAGAATAGACATTAAAATTGCAATGAGATCAGATACAGGGAGTGGAATCTTTTCTAAAAAAAAGATTTAAAAAGGAAAGCTCAGTGTTTTGTATGAATTGACACAGATCCATAATTATTTAAATTAAAGTGTCATTATTCCGAGTGTCCAGGATTAAAAGACTGGGCAAACAAAGAACATTTGAGATATCTGCAAAAAGTTTCTGTGTGCAGAGTAAATGACAGTATTGCTGTATTATCCATGGAAACTGCAATTTGATGATGCTTTATTGGTAGTATTGGTTTTTATTGATATTTATATGTTTTTTGACGTAAAATGAATAATTTCAAAAATGTACATTCTAAATACTATCTAAAATAATTGATGTATCATATGGAATATCCTTTTCAAATTTAATGAATAAAATTAAGAATAATAATTTTAAACTAGTAATATTTCTTTTCATTTTCTAAAACTAAATTAAAGTATGTTTGCCATTTAATTTGTCTGACATATTTTCATTTCTTTTATTTTATGTTTTGGGATGTGCTAGTATTCTGCCACACTAATGGCATGAGAAAATTAGATGCACTAATGCAGATTTCATTAATGTTCCTAAGAAGAATGTACATTATATAAAATGGATTTTGATAATACAGTACAAAGTCCGAAATCCGGACATCCATTATCCGGAATGATCTAAAATCCGGACCTCAAAACCACCAACAATGTTTTTCTGGTAGGCTTTACACATGTGCATTTGATCCCCCTCCCTTGCATAATAAAACTTCTGGAGAGTCCTGATTCTTAATTTCATTTCTACACTAAGTAAAATACCTTGCTATTGAAGTCACAATCATTTTAGCATAAAATTGTACAAACAGTAATTTGACTCCATTGCTGCATATCTCAAATCGAAACATTCCACATAGATACATAGTTTATTTGACGCCAACCTGGCGAATCATTATTTATTATACTTTCCTTTCATCACCGCATGTTTATCAAAACATGGCTACTTGAGTAATGACTCATGTAGGAGTTGACCTTATCATTTTTTTTTTTTTTTTACATTAGTAATTAAGAAACAGGTATGGTAACCTTTTGTGTTGACATTATGCTTGCCAATGATTACAGATTTAAGTTAAATGCGCTTAAGAAATGCTTGATGAGGAAAAATTTAACAAAAACTTTCTTTCCATATGCTAAAAAATAGATTTTGCTTGAATGATACCTCATAAACCTAAAAGATTATATTTAGGGCTATTTGAATTAAGAATAACTGATTTGTTATTCACATAAACCCAGAATCAGCGTCGAGGCTCGTATGGCTTCACTGAGTCGCAGAAAGAAGAAAATAGAAATAAAGAAGAATAAAAGAAGTTCTTCATTGTGATGACAATGCTTCTCACTCATCAATCAATTAATGGATAGTGAAATCTGTAGTATGGTTCTAAATCTAGAAAATACCGCTACCAGATAGTGAAGAAAGTGACAGAGAAGTTACAGAAAACGAGAACATTTCGATTGACAAGTTAGTCGGAATTCTCGAAACTGCAGTTACAGGACTTCAACAATGTAACTAAACAAGAGATTGTGTCTGTCTGCAGAATTAAAGAGAAATTATTAGTACAAAAAACGAAGCAACTTAAACAACGTACATTGAAAGAAATGTTTAATAAGGCAAACAAATAAATATTAAGCTTTTTTTTTTTTTTTTTTTTTTTCTTGTAAATTTTGATACCTTTTACTTCATAAATACTTCATTATTTTATAAATCATGATTTCATATTTTTAATTTTATAATTTCTACATGCCATTGGTACTAGATTTAAACTGATGATCTAATATCTGGAAAAATCTAGAATCGCCGAATTCTCGACGAGTCCAGATTTCAGACTTTGTACTGTAGTGTATGATGTTCTGTACTAAACCTTAGCTTTTCATTTTTCCTTATGATTATTGCTTCATCAACTTAGATAGTGGGGAAAAAAAAGGAGAAATCATCAGTGGCTTCTCAAGTTTACTTGTGTATCTGTATAATGCACACACACACACAAAAAAAAGAACTGTTCATCTGCTATGTGACATCGTAAATCAAACAATAATCAATATACTATCATCTGTTTGTTAGTATAGAGAAAACAGTGTAATTTGC